GGTGGTTCTGTCCGCACGGCGGTTCCCACGGCTTCCGCGGCTCGGAGGCGCGACGGCACCTGGCAACAAGCACGGCGTTAACAATTAAAAAATGGCTAGAAAGCGTCTCAGCCTCGTGCAGCAACCCGGCATGGGCGCCTAAGCCTCGCTCACTGCGCTCCTATAGCCAGGAGGAACAGAAGCCACGCCACGAGCCCCGGCCCGGGGCAGGGATGCAGCCACGCGCCTCGTTACTTTGGGCCGGGTGCGACCGCCCTGGAACGGGAACAAGAGCGCCTCTGTGCTCTGCCTGCAGGGAGCTCCAGCGGGGCCCCTCGCTGCCCTTCCGCCGCACGTCCATCTGCACATCGCACAACATCGAGCCTGCCAGCCCACCAGGCTCCTTCTGCAGCTAAACAAAAGCTTTTTATCAGAGAGCTCACTGATTAACACCCCGTTATCTCAGTAGCAGGGGGTAAGAGGGGCGGTGATCATATCCACACCAGCTACACTCTGCTCCTGGCAGAGGAGCAAACGCTGGGAGCAGGGATGGCAGCACGCCCAGCCCCAAAGCAGTCCAGCTCCTATCTTCAGCCAGAGAAAAGCCCATTGCTCCTCTGCCTGCCAGCCAGCGCTGTCTGGAAGGGCACCACATCCATTTTAACACCCGGACACTGTTTTAGTGGCATCTGAAGGCTCTGGCCAAGCCTAGGGCTGCACTGCGTTGTTCTGGGGGCTCCACAAGGTTGCAACAAAGGAACATCCCAGCTCCTCGGCACCCCAAGCAGATCAGACACCTCAGCAGGGCACAGCACACCTCCCCCCAGCCCAAGGGGTGCTGAGCCTCAGCTGATGGGCTCCGGCCATCCTGCTCAGCCAGGAGAAAACGACCTGCCCTGGACAGAAGGTCAGTTTGCTGAAGAGTTTGAATTAATTGCTAAAACACTGATTTTATCACCAGGTATCAAACCCAGCCGCCCCCACACAGCCCAGCCCGGCCCGGCCCACCTGCCTTTTTCTTCTTGCTCCAGCAGTAGGCAGCAGCCAGCCCACACCAGGCAGCCACCAATCGCTCGGAGCAGAGCTCCACAGCACAAAGACACCAGGACCAGGCACCGCACCGCACCCATCAGACAGCAGCGTCCCTTCACACCTCCTTGCCAGAACTGCTCTGAGCGCATGCGCACAACCTCTCAAGTATGGCGCCACAGAGCTGCGCGTGCGCACTCACGGCGAAGGGGGCGATAAGCCCCTCCTGCGCACGTGCTCGTCTCCCTATCACATACTTAGCACTACGCATGCGCTCGAGCAGAACGTTTCTTTCTCCGCCCGCTCACGGCGTTACGCGCATGCGTACCGCGGGGCGGCGGGGCGGCGTGCCGCCAGGAGTGAGACGGCGTGCCGGCGCAGGCGCAAAGCCGCGTGGGGTGGTCGCGCGGGAACCGCTGGGGAGGGGGTGGGGGAGAGCTGTGAGAGATGGGGCGGTACTTCCGGCCCCTCACTTCCGGCCCCAGCGCTGCGGCGGTCGGTGTGGCAGCGCCGTTCGGGCCCGTTCCGCACCGCGCCCGCCCCTCCGCCCGCATGCAGCGCCGCGACGACCCCTCCGCCCGCATGGGCCGGGGTCCGGGGGGGCCCGGAGGCGCCCGCCAAGGGGGGCCCAATCAGCGGCGGTCGCCCCGAGGCGGGGGGGGGCGTGGGTCCGGGGCCCAGCAGCCGCAGCCGCTGCTGACCGGCGGAGCGGCCGCCGGCTCCTCGGGCGCGCAGGGCCCCGCCGCCGCCTCCCCTGCCCCGCTGCTGCCCGGGGGCGCCGGCAAGATGGAGCCCGAGAACAAATACCTGCCCGAGCTGATGGCTGAGAAGGACAGCCTGGACCCGTCCTTCACGCACGCCATGCAGCTCCTCAGCGCAGGTACCGCGCGGGGCTCGGCGGGGCGGGGCGGCCCGGCCCCGTTGCGGGGTGCCGAGGGCTGGGGTGGCTGTTTGTCGAACGGTGGGCTCGTGTTCGATGTGAGACACGGGGCGGGTGAAGCCTGGAGCTGAGGGTTCGTTTTAAAGCGGGATGTGGTGAGCCTGGCCGCTGTCAGCCCCGGGGATGCGGGGGTCCGCAGGGGGGGGCGGTCCGAGCTGAGATTTCCATCAACCGCCGCTCGAGGTGCGTGCGTCGGGACTGCGAGCTCTGATTTTCCACTCGGGTATTCCGTAGAGAGCTCGTTTCGTGCTGCTGCTGAACCTCAATAGGGAATGGAAATGGCAGTCTTTGTTCTGTGCCCGGAGCAGCCTTCTCCTTCCTCGTCGCCGCTGTCCAATCGCCTGCCGCCTCTCATTCCTCCCCATCTCCCCGTGCAGCTGCTGCTCCGCGCCGTGCGGGGTGGGCTCAGCTGCCTCCGATACCTGGCAATAAAATCAGAGCCTTCAGCATTTAACTCAGACTCTTCAGCAAACTGACCTTCTGTCTCGGGAAGGTTGTTTTTCCCAGATAAGCAGGACAGCTGCTAAAAGCAGAGTTTCAACATTCCACGAGCTGCGGGGAGGTACCCTGCTGGGGTTGAGAGTATGGGCAGCATGACAGGTTGGAGTACTAATTGGGAATGCAGTCAACAGCCGTGTTTTTTGTAAAAAGAAAAAAAAAAGTCTTGACAGCATAAGGGACCTGGCCTTTGTCACACCCAGCCTCTTGCCTGGATGGCATCTCCCAGTGGAACCCCACGGCCACCACAGACCCCTTTCCAAGAATGCCACGTTAACACAGCGCGTGCTTGACGTTAGGTTTTAATAAGTCACGTTGTGGTTATGTATCAATGTTTACGTGCCTAAAATATGTCAGATCTGTGTGCTGTAGCTGCTGGATGCGCGCTCAGAGGTGCCGTCCTCCCTGCACCCAGCGCTGCACTGTGGTGATGTCGGCTTGCTGACCTGCCCTGGGGTTGGCAACTTTCATTCCTGGATTTCGGTGACACCTGCAGACCCCGGAATCAGCTTAAAACAGGAACAGCTTAAAATATTGGCTGCCACTTTGAGCTTAATCCGCGTGCGGTGCCAAGCAGGTGGTGCCGGCACAGGGACACAGCAGACTGAAGCAGCACAGAGCTCCATGCTCTGCCGTCTGTCATTCCGCTCAGAAATGATTTTTTAAGGTCTTTATACTGTTGTATATTGCTGTAGTTGTCGCAGCACTCAGGGCTTTTTTCATTCCTCCTTTAATGTGGGAAATAATTCTTAAGAATTGCAGTCTCCTGTTATGCAAATAGCTGAGGTACATCATCATGGGTAACTTGGCATCACTTGTGGACACCTCCATCTAAATAAATCAGTTTTATAATCCGATTTGCCATCAATTGAATGTTTTTCATTAATAAAAGCATTTAGCCAGCTGATGCTCACAGCTCTGTGGTAATGCTTGCCAGTGACACGAAACCCGAGGATGGAGGAGTGTGCTAATTCCCAAAGAAAGAGCAGCATTCTCAGCCCGCTGCGCACAGCTTTGTTTGCAGAGCGGTGTAACAAGGGTTTATGAGTTTTTCTATTAATTTAAAATCTGCTACTGGTAAATTGCAGCTTTGTGAGGTGTCAGATTGGAGGAACACCAGGTGCTTCCTGCTTGCTTTGGGTATTTTGAAAATTGGGGTTCCGGGGGAGCGTTCAGCAACAAACCAAATTCAACCAGAGCAAGAAGCTGATGAAAGAGTTCCTGAAACAAAGGCCTCAAAGCACAGCTTTGCACAGCTGGCCGACTGCTCCCCAACTCATCTGGAGTGCTCAGAATTTCTCCATTGCCGTGGCAGCCCCTGGGGAAGTCATGTTGGAGGACTTGCTGTAGAGCTTGCTCGGGAACTTGGGCCAGTGATTGTAGTGCATCTGTGCAGCACACCTGAAGCACGGTGGTTTTCAGATTCACAAAAAGAGTGATTATTGAATGTCAGCCCCATTCCTCCTCGTTGCAGGAGTGCAAGTTGCTTGTTCTGCCTCTTTCTGGAGGGAAACCACAGGGAGGTTTTTTGCATTGTAACTGAGGCTTCTTTTTTAATAGATTTATAAATAGTTTAAAATAGTGTCTAAAAGTAGCCTTAAAGTACCTTTGTAATTCTGGAGCTGTTTAGTGTTTCTGAAGAAAAATCAGCATTGTTTGGGATTGAGATGAAGGGCCGTATAGTGACGTAATGCTGATTCTGAAACAATGCACTGTGTGATACAACAGCACTGAAGTGGGTGGACTGTGGGATTCTGTTACACGGCACCCTGAACAGACGTTGCAAACTGGAATTCTTGCACCTTGGCATGAGGTTCCTCACTCCCACAGCTCAGGGTCTGCATGAGCTTCCTTTTCCATAGGAAGAAGGAAACCCCTTTTCTTGCTTTGATTTATGCTCTGCCTGCTGTGGGCGCAGGGCTGGAGGTGCTGTGAGGCGCAGCCCTGCTTCCATGCGCTGGGGAGTCGGGCAGCATCCTGTGCTGTGTCAGCCAGGTGGAGGTGTTCTGCAAGTTCTTGCTTTAATCTGAGCTTAATCTCCGAGCTTCCTGTGCTACACAAGTGAGCCGCCTCTCCGCTCTGCTTGCACCTTAACCTGTAGCATCTTGAAGCCCTTTGTGCTCCCGGCAATGCAGGACGGTGAGGAGGGCAGAGCACAGATGGGCCGCAGGACCACCTTCAGGGTGGTTTTGCTAGGGAAGAGCCTGGGCTGAGATCAGGAGTGGCACTGTGGCTGCTGAGCCTCCTTCGTGCAATGCAGCGGCGTCACCAAGCCCCCTTCACCTGCCCTGCAGGATTCCTTCTGAGACAAAGCAATCGCTGCCCCACATGAAGTCCAGGAAGCCACTGCCATGTGTGCCGCCAGCCTGCTGACATTGCTGGTGGCAGGAAGGTTACCTGCTGCTGTGCCTTAAAGAATCAGCACTGAAGTGAGGCGTGCTTAATCCCTCAGGCGTTACTGCGCTCCTCCTGCATGTCACTAAGCAGTTCAACAAGCTGCTGCTGCTGTCAGCTCAGCCAGCGCTGCTTTGAGTTCGTGGCTCACGGTGCAGGAGGACCAGAGCAGTGGGACACGTCTCAGGTGATGCAGGGCTGCTCCTTCCTCGCGCCTGTTTGAGGCTTGGGTTCCTTCTGTGCTGTGATGGAGACCATGAGGCCACCTGCATTGACCCGAAGGAGCTTTGCGGGTTGCTTTTTGGGTCGGGGTTTTTTCTTCTATCTGGTTTTGGGTTTCACTTGCAGAATTAGTGATGCTGGACCTGAGGCTTCTCTCAGCAAAGCTTTAACTGTTTGTTGCTCCCCCAGCCTCACTCCCAGGCGTTGCTGCTGTTGCATCAGGCAGATCAGGTTCTGCTGTGTGCTGTGGAGGCCCTTTCTGCTTTTCAGAGGCTTATGTCTGATGGCAATGTTCTGGCAAGGCACCCTAAGGGTGCTTTTCTTCTTGTGTGTGTGTTGAAAGTCCTTTTTATTAATATGCAGAATACTCTTACAAATATTCTCACTGGTTTTGGAAAACCAAAGTGTTGGAGAGAGAATCCAGCTGTGCTGTAGGATGTGAAGCTGTGCTTAACCAACACTGAGCGCTCCTTGTGTGCCACGTCCCGATTCTCTGATGTGTTCTTACAGCTAACATTAACAGGCTGTGCGTAAAGCTGACCCAGGCATCTCCTTGGTCTGTTTTGTAGATTTGACAGAGCTCCAACTGCATTTGCATGCTGTCCTCAGGAGATCATTTCTTTGCAAAGCAAAAATCAGCTCATCTTCCTCAAAGCCAGTTGTATCCCGTCTTTGTTTTTTTTAACTGAGGAGTCATGGTAACACTCTTGTAAGTGATCCAAAGAGCTGTTCCAAGTGAAAATTTGAAAAATTGGGCTTTTTTCATAATTATGCAATGTAATAGCCAAGTTATGTGGTTAGATCTGTGAACTAAATGTGTATATGTATGTATAGCCCCCGTCCTTGGGGCTGCTGGAAGGTGCCAGGTGCCTCCATGCAGGCTGCACAACTGTAACCCGCTGTGCCTGTCTGGGTTTGGAGTCTGAGAGTGTTACTGGGTGGACAACGTGCCAAGCATCTGATGGCAGCCAGTCTTCATAAACACGGACGTTGAATGCAAAGCTTATAGGTGGTGACATGGGCAGAAACTGCAGGAAACGTGAGGCAGCGCGGCTGCTTCTGCAAGTCCCAGGAACTGAGCTGTCCTGCAGCTCTAATGCAGTTCTGTGTGGTCTTGGGAAAGTATCCCTGCCCCCCAAGATGTGAGCAGTTGTATCTGGAGCACGTTGGGCTCAGAAGAGATATTTACAGCTCCTGGGTTTGCTGGTGAAATGGCGTGCTTCAGCTTTAAGGAGGGGTCCTCACTCAGCATCCAAAGTAATCAGGGGGCAGGGCTGCACCGAGGAGCGCGTGGCGTTCTGTCAGCATTTGGGGTTAATATTGGTGCACCGACTGTAAATCTGGGGGCACCTGAGATCTCATTGTTGGCCATTAAATAAAACTCAGGTGTGACCAGAGAGCTTGGAGGAGAAAAAGCTCCACTGTAGCTTTGGCAGAGCACTGAGGGTTTGCCTCCCTCGATGGCAGGTGTGTTACAGCAGGGATGGCTGGGAGCATGGAGGGTGGCTCTTGGTGTCCTGTGGCATCCCCTCCTCCGTTTCGGTGCAAGTTTAATTTCCAGCCAGACCAGAGGAGGTGTTGCTGCCTCCTAATTGATCTCCCTTAATGACCCACTTCCAAGAGGTGATGAGGCCTTTCCTCAGACCCCCCAGGCTGCAGTTTGCCTCCACATCACTCAGCCCAGCCCCCACAGCTCCTAGCGTTCAATTAGAACTCAGAATCTTGCTGTGACAGTCAGCATTTGTGGTTACGTTGGCTGAATCAGGTTGGGGCATCTCTAGGGCTCGTGTGCCTGAGGCTCACAGCTTGAAGCCCTGAACTGCTGGTGATAAAGGTGCGTCTCTGGCAGGAGAACTGTCAGTTCCAGAAGCCAGTCTGACTGCAGGCTGCCTCTGACAGAGTTCTGGTTATGAAGAATGTTGTCAACATTGCTGGGATTCACAGTGTCGGTCCGTGCTGCTGCCACTACGTAAGTGACAGATTCAGAATAGTGCATCAGCTTCAAAAATCAGTCGAAGATTTGCCTGCTTTGCTGGTCTCTGCTGCACTGAGGTGGAGGGGTGCAGCCCGTGTGGCTCAGGGCTCTGCTGTGGGAACTGCGCTCACATGGAGGCACAGCACAAGTGATGCACAGAGCTGCTCCAGTTTCCTCCCCTGAGCGATGAGGTGACTGTAGGGCGTTCCCTGCTGCTCTCTTGTCCCCCTTATTGTCCTGGATTTGGCCTTCTGGAATCCTCAGGTGTGAAGGGAAGGAGAGGTGAGCTGGGCTGGCGTCCAGGCTGTCCTGTAAAGCAGAACCCATTTGTGCAAAGTAACCGGATCGATGTTGGTGTGCGCACAGAGGATGAGGGTGGTACGTCCTGTGCGCTTCCAACGCTGAAATGATGCTTGTTTGAGGAATATAAGCAGCCCTATTTTTATCTTGTTTAGAAATTGAAAAAATTCAGAAGGGTGAAACAACAAAGAAGGATGAGGAAGAGAACTACCTGGATTTATTTTCTCACAAGAATATGAAACTGAAAGAACGAGTTCTGATCCCTGTCAAACAGTACCCCAAGGTGAGGGCCAGAAAACAGCTTCCTGAATCTCTGTGATTTGCTTGTTTTCTATGGATGTTATGGCAGAATGTTGGAGATAGTGGCTGTCAGTGTGTCAGCAGGAGTTACGCCAGGGTGCCGCTATCGCTGTGGAATTCTTCTGTGCAAGCTTGCAGGATCTCATTTCTAACATATTACATGCATTACATTTCTAGAATGTCTAGGGATAAAGCTAAACGGTGCTGTGTAGCTGTGATGTTTCTCTACAAGAATAGACTCATATGCAGAGCTCTGTGTTTTACAGTTAAGACCACGCTTAACTCTTAAGACTGCCTGTAAATCTGCTAGAGAGTAGTAGTTAGAATTAAGCTCGTTTTCCATGAGTTAATTTAGCTTGATTTGCTGGTGGAGCTTTTTAATTTGGAATTTAATTTTTCCTGTGTGTTTTTGGTCTAATTACTTTTGGTGTGACTAGATTTGTAATCCAGGTTAACATTAAGAGAAGCTTTCGTTAAGGTTGCAGAGTTTTGAGGCTAAATGTTTCTTTTTTATTTTCAGTTCAACTTTGTTGGAAAGATTTTGGGACCTCAAGGTAACACCATCAAGAGGCTTCAGGAAGAAACTGGTGCTAAGATCTCTGTGCTTGGGAAGGGTTCAATGCGAGATAAGGCAAAGGTAACGTCCCCCCCTTGGGACCATACACATACATGAATGCCTTTCAATCCGATGTGAAAAGCAGATGATCCCAAAGCATTGTATAAATCAGCATTGAAAAGCGAAGGCAGAAGGAAGTCACCTTTCTGAAACTGTGCTGTGCTTGCTGGGAGCATTCTCAATTGGGAGCACGCTGTGATGGATGCTTTCTCCATAAGTGATACTTGCAGAAACCCGTCATCTTCTGATGTACTGCACCTCAGGTGTACAGATAGCTTATATGGAAGGTGATGTACAAGGTCTTTAAAGTACGAACCAATTCTGCTGCTTGGTGAGCAGTCATTTGCTGAAGTAATACGTTTCCCCTTCAGAAAAACCCCAGCGTTTCCCATTTCCAGCAGTCCCCTCTGAGGTCTGTAAATCCTCGTGCTTTACGGAACGCTCTGGAGCAGCGTGTTGCTGGTGATCCTTAGTGAATCACAGAGAGCCCGAAGGCTTTCTGGGCAGAAAAAAAATGGATTTTTTTTTTTATTTGCTTGCTCCTACAATTGAGGTAACAATCAATCAGTGGGGCTGTAACTTCATTCCGCTTTCACTTCAGCAGCCTGAGAAGTTTTTACGCTCCAGTTTATTTATAGCTTCTTAAAGCCAGCTGAATAATGCAGGTATCCAAGAGCAGAATGAGAGCACGAGCGTTTGAGATGTCAGACTTCACTTCCACTGTGAGAACACCTGAGGCAGTAGGGGTGTAGAACAGCAGAACATCGCTTCCATGTGCTTAGTGGGAAAAGTTTCTGGCATCACTGCCTTCACACTGATATCACAGCCAGCTGGAAAGGCAGCTGTGAAAAGCTGGGGGTGTGGGCTTGCAGGTTGTGCTTGGGGCTTCTTGTAAAACTGCGTGCTCTGTGCATGGGATGTTAACGTGATCGATGTGATCAGACACAGCTAAAATGCCTTGTAAGCCTACTGAGGCTCGGGAAACAGGAAAAGAAAAGCAGTTTTGCTGCATCTTGTTCAGTTTTAGGACTCTGATACACTTTTTTTCAGGAGGAAGAGCTGCGTAAAGGGGGAGATCCTAAATATGCTCATCTAAATATGGATTTGCATGTCTTCATTGAAGTGTTTGGACCCCCTTGTGAAGCATATGCTCTGATGGCTCATGCCATGGAAGAAGTCAAGAAGTTCCTTGTCCCAGTATGTATACTGATGCTCTTTCCTTGTTTAAGGAGGTAGATGTGCAGTGTTCATCTCAAAGTGGTGCACAACAAACTTGGGATGGGTATTTCTTTCCAGTATTAGCTATGGACACAGGGGGTGGAGAGCTTGTCCAGCTCCATATGTCAGTGTCAGCAGGTGAATAATGTCTGTGTCTGACTGTCTGAAGAGATTTCCATAGGATTGGTCAGGTCAGAAGCTCTGCACACAGAAGAGTTTGCTGTGACGTGAGGGTGAGGAGGGTGGCTGCCCAGGAGCTTGGTGGTGGTGTGCTGGTGTTGTAGGCAGTTCTGAGACACAGCTGTTACACCAGTATTTCTGTGACCTCAAATTGGTGAGATGTGAAGGGACCTGTTTTTGCTACTGGGGCATTTACACAACTGACATTTCTTGTCCTTTTGGGGATTTCTGCTGGTGAAGTTTCTGAGACCTTCATGTTCACCTGGATGTTAGTCTTACATTATGTAGCATAACAAAGCTAGAGCATCGCCCCTGGAATTGCAGAATCTGGAGGAGTCTCACATAATGTTATTGAAATGGAGGTATTGCTCACCAAACTGGGAAGAAGACAAATTGGGGGTGAAGCACGCAGTGCTCCTGGCTTCTGGCTGGCCCAGCCTGTGATTCAGAGCCCTAGCAGGCAGAGAGCTGAGCGCAGCACCGTGCTGCGTGGAGCTCGGCTGAGATGGAGAGCTCAGATGTTCTGTCTGAAAGAAAAAGGGCGGGTGGAATCCAAGAGCTGCAGGTAGTGGGGAAGTGTGGCAGAGCTTGCGGTGGCTGGGTGGTTTCCGTGAGTCTGACACAGAGAGATGAGTGTGTGAAGAGCCTTTGAAGGAAAGAGGTCATCTTCAAGGAGACCCTTGGATGCACAGAACTCTGCCTCGCTAAGGCGAGCGTGCAGCCTTGCTATTTAGAGTGTCTGATCTATCGGTGCCTTCAAACAACACGTTAAACTTGTGAAAACTGACAGAGCAGTCACTATGGAAGCCAGCAGTGCTGTGAAGACGCAGCTGGTAGGAGACTCCTTGCTTTGTGGAGTTGCCATGGCAGCATGAAGATCCCCTCTGTGCTCAGGGAGGGGGGGCCAAGGCCCTCTGACGGCTCATGGGGCTCAGGGGACTCGGCGCGTTGCTGAAGCTGGATCCCCTGGGGCGATAGAAACGCACAAAGCAGAGGCGTTCTGTGTTTGTGAGACTGCAGAAGGCAGCCTGCATTTGCACACTGGTATTTACTCTTCTCCTGTTCCTTCAGCGTGTCAGGAGCACAGCAGTGTGCTGTTACCTTACGTGGGCTCGTTGCCACCTGCCTGCCTTTAAATAGAGGCGTAAGGTGCTGGAGGGGAGATATATCTTGCCTGACTTAACCTCTGAACTCTCCAACATTTGCAAATAAAACCTGCCAGTGTCCCTAGGGTGCTGAGTGTCGGATGCCTCCAGAGCTCCCGCAAGCAGGTCCTCTTCTCAGGGACCATCTGCAGCACACGCACAGAGTACTGTGCTCTTCTCAGCTGCTTTGGAGTAAGCTGGCACTCGTGTGCTGCTGTCTGCTGAGAAGATCCCGGGAAAACCAACCAGCAGGCTTTCATTGAGCACCGTTGGGTCATTTTTATTCTAGCACGGTGGCTTATGGTACCCTGGAGCAGAGACTCTAGTTAGCTGCTCTTTGGAGCTGACTCTCTCCCCTCTTTAGGATATGATGGATGATATCTGTCAGGAGCAATTCTTGGAGCTCTCCTATCTGAACGGTGTACCAGAGCCGACTCGTGGCCGAGGAGGCCCTGTGCGGGGAAGGGGAGCAGCTCCACCACCGCCTCCACCTGTTCCAAGGTACCTTTCCCAAAAGCATGGACCTGGAAATGCTGCATCTTGCTCAGAGTGGTGCTGCGAGATCAGGTTAAGCTGCTTATTCTTGTACATCAGCTGTTGACTTTGACCTTGGCTTTTGGCCAAAGCTTTCTAGCCTTGTTTTGCAGGCTTCCTTTAGCAAGCTGACATCAAATATTCTGTATGTTTTGAGTTGCAGTAGTTATAGTTTTGCTCAATGGATGTTTTCTTTATTGTCTTTGCTGTCTGAAATCATTAGCATCACAAAATAGCCATTAAAAAAACGGAAAGGATAGCTAGAAAATTGTTTTTTAAAAAGAAAATCTGCCTGCAAAACCACGCGCAGATGTTTTGTGTTTGCTTCTACAACCTCCAGCAGAATACATATTTTCAGTTTAAACCGACCTTCCTTTGAAAGTCACGGGGGGTGTTACTCTGTCACTGCTGTCAAGGCGTTGAGATAAATTGGTGTAACACTGTTGCTGTGTTGCTTCGCGGGACATATTTCACAGGGGCAGCCTTCACTTCTGTCTGGCCGTTCAGCCCAGCAATGTCCCCGCTCCCCTCAGCGGTGGTTTTACAGTGCTGAGGGTTGGCAGTCGCTGCTGGTCAGTGACAGGGCAGCAGGAGGGAGCTCTGTGAGGCGCCTCGGCTGACGTCCTGTGTTGGATTTATCCCTGTGCAGCGCGTGATGCGCACTGTCCCCATCCCATAAGAGGTTTTTTTTTTAAGTGATGCAATCTTAACAATTCATTCTTGACCAACAATCCGTAGCTTAACGAACGGTAACCGAATTTATTTGTCGAGTGCTTGCGTTGTCAGGTTGCAGCTCACAGCCGTTCTCCTCTCCTTGCAGGGGGCGCGGTGTTGGGCCTCCCCCTCCGCCGCCTCCTCCCCGGGGGGCCCTGGTGCGAGGAGCCCCGGTGCGGGGTGCCATTGCCAGGGGAGCAGCTGTAGCCCGTGGAGTTCCGCCCCCCCCAGCAGTCCGGGGAGCTCCTGCCCCCAGAGCGCGTGCGGCCGGCATCCAGCGGATACCGCTTCCTCCTCCTCCAGCACCAGAAACCTACGAGGAATACGTAAGGAGCCGCCTGCCGTCGGGTGTCATTCCTGGTGTCATTCCTGCTAGCTGGGCTCGTGTCAGTTATTGGATGCTGTGGATGTAAAGGGCTGCACCGCGAGCGCTGCACCAAGCAGTGAGCAGTAGTGCAAATCCTGGTACGGTGCTAGGCGACCTGCGCTGCCTGCTTCCAAAGGAGCTGCTGGTGTTGTGAATAGCGTAAAGCTGAAATGGGCCCAGCAGCATTTTGGGGAGCCGTCACAAATAAGGCAACTTGAAAAATCCTGCTCTTCATCCCAGTAAAACTTGTGATGTTTTTTTGTCTGTCTGTGAATCTGTGTATTGGGTATCGCAGTTACAGACTTCCCAGTGCGTGGGTTTGTACTGTAGACAAGCTGTAGCCTTGGACATGTAAGTCGCTTTCTAATCCACTCATTGTAAAGATCGGTGTGGTTCATTCCTTGCGCACAAGCAGTTTTTAGTTGCCCACTCATGTTTTCTGCTCAGTCCCTTCCCTGTGGCAGGCAGGGACTCATGAGCTGCTCCAAAAACTGCTGTAACCTGAATTCACTTCTGCTGCTACCTTTGGTCACTCATTAACCTTCCATCTTTCCGTTGATGCCATTTGTGTCATCTGTTTCAGGGTTATGATGATGCATATGCAGACCAGAGCTATGAGGGCTATGAAGGCTACTACAGCCAGGGCCAAGGGTAAGTCTCCCACCGGTTACTGGGAAAATTATGCATGATCTTTTTTTCTTTTAAGAGAACAGAAACCCTTATTTCTGTGTGTGAGCTGTAGGGAAAGTGCCCCCTTCTGCTACAATCCTGGAGTCCCTGGGAAATAACTTTTGGGAGTGTCCCAGTTCAAAGCAACGAACGCCCACCACAGAACGAAGAGCAAAGATGCCCCGTATTGCTCAGGTGTTTGTGCAGGTTGTGTCAGCTCAGGAATACCATTTCTGCACTGCGTGTAACCAGCATGATTACTCTTCCAGGGACACAGAATACTATGATTATGGACACGGGGAGGCACAGGAAACCTATGAAGCTTATGGTATGTCTGGGAATCCTGTTTTTCTGTAGGGAAGGGGCTGCACGTAGCTGGGAGTTGCCTGCACAAAGCAGCTGTGTGTGGTTGGGAATTGCTTGTAGTCGGTCAGCTGTTCTCCAGTGCTGCTCCACACTCTGAGCAGAAACTTCTGACACTGAGGAGGACCTCAAATAGTTTTCATGGCAGAACTTCTTTACTCTACACATTACCCAGATCAGAGCAACTGAAGGCATTATGTGGTTTTTTAGATTCTTATGTAGCTCGATTGTCTCAAAGGTGATGAAAAATTCCATTTTTAACTGTGGAAATATCTTTCCATTTCCTGGTAGCTTTAGAGTATTTTAAGAGCTATGGATTTCCACCCACAGCACTGCTTTTGCTGCAGTCTGGTTTCATGAATTATATTTTGTTGAGCTGCATGAATGCGTGGCTCCATCTGCTTCCTTATCCTCCCAACCCTTCCAGCTGACTGCACTACACGTTGGCTTTAAAAATGGTTTTAAATGTCATATTAAGGCCTGTTCCTTGACTAGCTGGAAAAATGTTCTTCACTATGACTTGCAGGTAGTCTGTGAAGTTTGGCTAATGTGCATTACCTGAGGCCATCAACTTAGGCTGGACTGAGGAGTGTGGGAGGCCAATTTAAGCACGGCGATGTAAATCACAGACTGTCGAAAGCCATAGGCCTTCTATCTGAGGTGCAGGCAATAAAGGATTTGGTGACTGCATTGTTTTTTAAGCTAGTTCAGATATCTGAGCTTATGAGTGGCATCTGCATATGGTGAGAAGAAGGACTCGTTTTCCTTTCTCTGTAAGCAGCAAAAGGCTCACAGTGAGCTGCTCAGTGGTGTGGAAATACGCAGGATGGAAGGCAGTGCCTGCAGCAAAGCTTCCATCAGTCGCCTGAGGCTGTGAGCAAACTGAGCCAGCGATGGTAATGACCATCAGTCTTTGCACAGAGAGGCTTCTGGTGTTCTCAGAAGCAGGGAATCCCTCTGCCCTGCTGTTGTTGGGAGCTGTGAGCAAAGCCAGACCTGCCTCTGGGTGTGCCCTGGGCGTGAGCTGTGAGAAGGGCAAATTCAGGTGCTTATCAGGGCTGCTTTTCCAGTCTGAGGTGGGTGTGAATAGACAGCTGCTGTCAGCAGTGCTGGGTATCTCCGTGCCTCTGTGCAGAATGGCTCTGGGATGGCTTGGGTTGCTGCCTGTGTCAGTCATGCAGCACAAAGAGGCTTTTGTGCCTCCTGCTTGGTAGGAGAGTGGTGTTGTCTGGGGTCTGAAGGCCAAAACGCTCGTTGCACACTTGGCATGAAGTTGCCACAGTTAATCTGTTTATCCACAGTAATTTCCTTTGGTCTCTGCTTTCATGAAAGCAAAATCAGAAGAATAAATTGTCGAGCCAGGCTGGAGACTTGTGAGAATCAGAGCATGTTCCATGGCAGCAGGAATAGCGGCCGGCTGGCCTCGGGGTCCAGGAGGTTGCTTTGCTGAAGTGGGGACTGCAGAGAGCAGCAGGCACAGCAGTATGGGTGCTGCAAGCACCGAATGGAAAGCTGAGCTCAGTTGTTTGGGGCGTGAAGCAGCTCAGGAACAACGGGGTGCAAACTCTGTTTGCTTCAGAGGCAGTTGTGCACGGCAGCAGTTTGTGGCTGTCCTGCCTGTGTGTTGTCCCGGCAGTGCTGGTGCAGTGCTGGAATGCAGGTCTGCAGCCCAGCAGATGCTGCACGGCTGCAAATGGCCCCTGGTGTGGATGTGTTGGGGCACAGGAGCGGCCCGGCCTGGTGCTCCGTGAGGAGGAACGCGACCTGCAGCCGTGTCGGGCCTGGAGGTCGGCGCTGATGGCTGAGGCTGCGATGTGGGCCTGCGTGGGGCTGGCTGCCACGGCCGCCTTGAGAGCTGGCTGCAGCGCTGCTGAAATTACTCATCAAAGGCACTGGATTTGTCCAAGCCAGGGCTGAGCGGGGAATCCCTGCCAGCAGCTTTTCCCAAGGCCAGCAACGTTCTGCAGAGATCCCTGTAGCACTGGGGGCTGAGGGCTGCAGCACAGCGGCCTGTCGGGGCCGCGCCGGGCCCTGAGCGCGCTGCTCGCTGCCGGCGTTGATCTGTCGCTCTCTCTTCCGCAGGCCAAGATGACTGGAACGGCACCAGGCCCTCCCTGAAGGCCCCCCCAGCCCGGCCGGTGAAGGGCGCCTACAGGGAGCACCCATACGGACGTTACTAAAAGCAAAATGAGGGAAAAATAGCAGTTATGAGCAAACAGTTGTTACTGATTCTTGTATCTCCCAGGATTCCTGTTGCTTTGCCCACACCAGACAAGTAATTGTCTAACTGTTTTTCTTCGTGGCCCTTTTTCTCCCACTCCATCCTCACCCTGCATTCTGGCTTCTGTACGTAGTATTTTAAAATGAGTTAAATAGACGTAGAGCACCAGTTTTAATTTTTTTTTTTTGAGTGTGTAGATGGCTTTTCTTTCTTTGTTGTTTAGATAAATAAAACTGTACCTTTTTCATAAAAGAAAAAGAGTTTAAAATGTTAGTTTCAAAAGTGACATGCTTGCTTAGCAGATATGAAACTAAGGTTTTGTTAACCTTTAAGTTCGGTTTTAAGAAACCCATAAAAGTTGTAGTTGCAGAATCCCAAAGTAGGCTACATTTCAAAATTCAGGGCTGTTTTTAAGAATTAAAATCATAATGTAACGGTAGTGGTTGCCACCGTTTAGAAGTAACCTCAGACGTCAAACTGTCCTTAAAAGCAGATTGCTGGTGAATCTTCAGTTTAAAATTTAACATGAAGGATCCTCAAGCAAATTAAATAGCATTTTTTTAAAAGGTAATTGATCTAAAAGAAAAAAAAAAAAAACAAAAAAAAAATTAGGTTTGTAAAATTGACTTTCACGACGTGGGTTTTGAAATCTAGCCCCAAACGTGCGGTGTTGAGAGATGCTTGGGAAGTGATGTCCCACTGCCAGGGCTCCATCCTGCATGGAGAACTTACGAGAGGGAAACAAATTAAAGCACGGCTCTAATTGCCCAGCGTTTGGTATTAGAAAACAGAGCATTCAGTGACTAGGTCTGAATTCTATAAAATTACAGCCTTCTCATTTTTCTAGCATTGGTGGCGCATAATACAGTGCAAGCTTAAAACTGACCAAATGATCAGTATTAGCAACCCCATTGACTTGTTCAAGTGCATCTCAACACTAGCTCTGCATAAAAAGGGACGCTGCAGCTGAAAAAATGAGGAAAATTTTCACTCTGTACATAGGTTAAAGTCCTAATGGGATTTGTACATGGTCCTCCCACTGTTCTGAAGATTAAATGCTACATGTGTAAGTCTGCCTAAATAGGTAGCTAAAACTTGTCAACATGTCTGCCGCAGTTTGTCAATAAAGTTTAGTCCTTTTTTAATCAAAGTAAATGTGATGAATTGTCATTTTTTTGTTGAGCAGTAAAATAGCTGTTCTTTTTCTTTTTCAAATAATTTTAAATTAATGCTAAAGCTAATTGTCTTTTTAAAATATGGAGGCATTCTAAAAGTGGTGTTTTTTTGCAATTCTTACCAAAAGTTGATCAAGTTCATTGAACAAGCTTAATTTAAAGGGGAAAAAAACAAAAAAAGGGAAAATCTTGTTTTTCACCCCCTGGAAGTTCTTTGAAAGCAGTTTGATCCTGGACTGTGGCAGCAAGCTGACTTGTGTCTGCTGAAAAGCGGGGCTCTGCTGAATTACTGATTCAGATTGCAGGTGGCCTCAGAGCAAGGCAGGCTGCAGGCTCCAGGCTGAGTCTGAAATGGCTGCTGTAAAGTAAGGTGACAAGTGCTGAGAAAGCCGAGGAGGAGGGAGCTTGCTTTCTGTGCACGTAACTGCCCTGACCCACTCGGCTGGGGCGATGCCCCTCCGACTCGCAGGCAGCCTTTACTGGGACAGCCTTACAAACGTCCCCCTTTGAGGAGGGTGCTGCAGTTGCTCCTTGTATCCAAGCCGAGGGTCTGCGTGTATTTCTGTGCACACACCTACAAACGTTGAAACCTGCTCAGAGAGACTGACAAACTGTCTGTGCTTCCCAACGCAGAGCGATCTGGCACCGTAGGGGGAGAGAACAAAACTGCTCGGGGGTGAAAAATAGAGCATCAGGAAGCAGGCTGCTCGTAGCAGTGCATGACTGAGGGGAGTACTTTAAAACAAACAGTTGTGTTTGTAGATTGTTATTAAAGTGCAAATAACTGAATTTTCAACAATGGTTTGGAGTCAGCTTTCAGGGCATAATGTCTTGCTTGATGAAAAGATCACCCTATGCCCCCCTTTTAAAGGAAAATTATCGCAGGAGAATCAGGATGTGTAAAGCTAACATGCATCGCAAAACCCAAAAGGTAACCTAAATGTCTGATTTTAATAGCACATTTCTCTTTTACATAAACCGTGACGGCAACTTGCATAAACTTTATTGAGACGATTCTTCAAGTGTTAATTTTAATGTAAAAAAATTTGCACACAAAAAAATGTTTAAAATAAACATTAAAAAAAAAAAAACAGCAACCGACCAACCACGTGGTAATGCATAATTAGCAATAACTTTAATACCGTGCCCTTTGAAAATGCACTGTAATGGAATGTGGGCAAAAGGGAATCGGCAAGCTTAAGTATCAAAAGATGTAAAGTGAACGGATGTAGATAGTGCTGCTACTGCCAAAACATTCTGCTCAGTTGTTTCAAAACGTAAAGCGATGGCCCTTTGTAGACCCCACTATTGATACCGGCTGTGAAATGCTCCAAGCTCAGCTTAAGTTGCATGTTTTCCTTCCTGTGTAATTGCATGCAGGACTCTGTTCTGTTGGCTTGTGCTCACGTTGAGGAGACTGACGGATGCCTTCAATTTGCAGGAGCGCGGAGCGGCGGACGAGGGCTGAAGGCGAGGAGGGGCAGCGCTCTGGGTGAGTCTGTCTGCTTATTTTTGCAACTTGCAGCAAGCTGTGAACACGTTCGTGTGGGCAGGGAGGGCGGCACCATCTGAGCTGTTAAATTGGAGCCGTTCTTCACATACCCACAAATAAATCGGTGCTGCCGAAGGCCGGCTCCAGCAGTGAGGCTCCTGCAGAGGTCATGGTGCGGAGGAGGCTTTGCTGGGTGCATGCTTACAGCTCTCCCAGCGAGATCCTGTGGAGAAGGAGGCTTAGTGGGTTTGAGGAGAGGGGATTGGGATACGATCTGTTTCCCGGGGCTGCTGCCTGGCTGAGATGCTGGCTTTCATGTGAGCGCCTGCAGCTGCAGGGTAGCACTGAAGTTGTTACCCCGTGCTCTAGGATCAGAGCGGTCCAAGCAGGAATCTGTAGAAATGCAATGGCATCATAGAAGCACGGGACGGTTGGGTTGGAAGGGACCTTACAGCCCACGCAGTCCCAACCCCTGCTGTGGACTGGCTGCCCCCAGCTCAGGCTGCTCAGGGCTCCTCCAGGGATGGGGCACCCGCAGCTCTGGGCAGAACCACTGGGTCTCGCTGCCCTCTGGGGAGAGAATTTCATCCTCACATCTCACCGAAATCTCCCCTCCTTAAAGCCTTTCCCTCTTGTCGTGTTGCTGTCAGACCATATAAACAGTCGCTCTCTCCCCACGCTTTATAAGCTCCCGGGTGCCGTGCGCTGTCGCGCTGCTCAGCCGGCGTTCCTGGGTTGGGACGAGCGCGGCTCGGAGCTCTGGGATGGAGGAGCCCCGCTCCCCGGTGCTGCTCAGCAGCGGCGGTGGTGGGGCTCCCTCTGGTGGCTGCAGCGGCCGCAGTGAAATATTCGCTCTGCAGCCACCTTCACGGCGCGGCACGTGCTTGCAGACCGTGCGGGCTGTGCCTGGGGACGCTGAGCTCCGGCGTCACGCGGCGCTGACCTGGGCACGCAGCAAGGACGCGTCTCCCCTGCGGCCCCGAAGGCAGCAGCCCTGAGCGCGTCCCCTGGGGGCGGCTAATTGGCTTCTCTCGTATCTTGAGATCGCTGGAAGCCTGAGCTCCAGAAATCAGAGAACAAAGAAATAAGCCTTTGTGCTGCTGGAGGAGTGTAACGGCTTCAAAAGACTGCTGTGCAAAGCCCCGGGAGCGGGACGTGGAAGGACATGAGACTTATTTTATATGGAAATGCAGAGCTACCCAACGAGCTTCTCTTAAGAGCGTTAGGAACGAGAAGATGGTTATATGTGGAAATGGTGCAGCACAATGAGATTACCCTCAATTCTTTGCCTTTAACTTGAAAATTGGAGCCGTAATTCTGTTAGGGAAAGACGTCGCATCTGGAATTCGGGGGGCTGTTTGTGTAATGCATCTCCATTACAACGTAACTGAAACATCAGTTCATGTGCTGGTGTTCCAGTCTTTGCCATTTCTTTCTTAATAGGCACAACTTTTATATCAAGTGGAAAAGATTTGATAGAGATCATCTGTTATGATGCAGTTTTTTACCAGTAGGATCTTGTGGCACCGCCTTTGGAGTTGTACAGCTTGCTTGTGCATCACATTTATTGCATGTTTATGTGAAAATGTTGAATGTTATGGGGGAATGTAAATCTTAATATATTGAAAATAACTGCATATGCTAAAAATATTTCAAAAACATGTTCTGCATCAGATAGCTTCCTCCCTCTCAAAGCATCGCTCCACGCAGATTGTAGCCGAGAGTCTGCAGAAGCTAATTGGAGATCCCAGAATAGCCGTCAGCGTCGGATGTGTCTCTGAGATGCTGTAATGAGGCACGGTCCGGGGTGATGCAGGGCTCACAGAAATATGTGAGGGTGGAGATTCCTCGGAGTGCTGGAGGCCGAGTCACCCAATAACCTCCCCTTTTCTGCTCACAGCCGCTGGAGATGGCACTGGTTCTGCTGGCTGTTAGCAAACGAGTGCAGATGACATTTCACCTCTGGACTTGCCCGTAGAACTAATCCACATCTCATTGTTTGTGGGATGGTGGCCAAGTCCATACACAAGATAAAAGCCCCCACAGCGTGGTGTCCAGCAGCAGTCACATCTCCCTGTGGAAGTGTTTCCCAGCAGTGCTGTTTGTAGGCTTGGTGTCCTAAAGACACCCTCTGCTACAGAGCTCTCCCTGCTCAGCAGTCCATCTTCTCTGGCTCCTGCTCTGGGAGGCTGCTGCTGCTTCAGCCTCTGGTCCAGCATTTGGTACTCAGGCTGCCTTGCTTGGTGCCGTTACACAGCTGGACTCTGTCCTCTTTCAGTGGGAAGTCACCACGTGTCGTGGTTCCCAGCATCGAGCAGCAGCTGAGCTCCAGCTGGGACTGCAGAGATGTCCCAAGCAGTTCTTCCTGGAAGGAGACTGTTGTACTGCGTGTATTCCTTACCCCTGGTTTCAAGTTGCTGTTTAGATTATTAGATAAAGCAAATGACTGCGAGCTTTATTTCATAATTTATTGATGGTAATTTTTATGTAGCATGGCCCTCTGTAAAACTCCATCTTTGGCAAGTTGGATCCAGCTGAGGTTTAGGAGCACAGCTGCATTCCTTGCTTGGCTCTTAGAGCAGATGATTTCTCTTGTACAGAATGAGTTTTCAAATTTGTATGAGAGCATCTGTCATGGACAGAGCCAGGAAAAGCAATTGAGATGTGCACCTCTTCCTCCCTGCCCCACACCGCTGCTCCTGAAGGGCCCACGTGGGCAGGGGGCAGCTGGCACAGACCCGGGGGGGGGGGGGGGGGGCCGGCGGGGGGGCCGGCCGGCAGGGAGCTGAGCAGAGCAGGAGGTGCTGTTAGCACAGCCCTGCCGTGAGGGCTGTGAGTGCAGATGGTGCTTTTGGGGAGTGTGGCACAGCTTAGGGGAAATCCTGTCTTAACTGAGAAACCTGCAGCCTCCCGGGCAAGATGTTGGACACCAGCCCTGTTGGTGAGCTTTGAGGGGGAGGAATTTCTGCAGCCGGTCGGTGCCTGTGGGGAACCGCCGTCTCCAATGTAGATCTTATTCCTCTTCTCAGGAAGCTCAGATCCCGAGAGCACAGAGCAGAACCCTTTGCTGTCATTGCTCAGCTGAGCCATATGTTCCAATAGAAATGTTTGTTTCCACGCTCACTTTGCTCCTTTTGAGATGCGGGACGGAGATGGGATGCATTGCTTTCAGATGACGAAGGAATGCAGTCCGGGAGCCCTTTGCTTTACTGCAAGGTGGAAGCAGCCGGCTCTGCTGAACACCGGAGCTCCTTCAGCCACCTCCAGATATGGAGAGAGGCAGCATCGAAGCACGGCCTTCCCCATGGAGCTGTTACTGCTGCCTCTGGAACCGAGCACGAGCGAAAGCCTGCAGCGTTCCGCCCTGCCCTGCTGCTGTGGAGCGCCGGTGCTGCTGCCGGGCTGGAGGACGTGGTTCTGCTGCCGCTGCCGGGATGCTGCTGGGCTTCGGTGGCTGCACAGGTTCCAAAAGCAATAAGGAAGAGAAGATTGGTCTGTGAAAGGCCGTTAATTTTGGAAGTGGCTTTGCCTGCAGCCTGGGCAGGGTTGTGCACTGCTCCATCTGAACCACAGCCTGAGCCGCCCCGAGTTGGGGAACTCAGTGCAAAGCACTGCAGTGGCTCCATCCAGCGCTGATGGAGGTTAATGTTGGCCGAGGTGAATCGTGGCGTTAAGCTGGTTGTGCGGGAAGCTGGCACGGTGCAACACAGCTGGCGTTCAGCCGATGCTGGAAATGATTTGTCATTCTTAATAAAGATTGAACGCGGATCTTTTGGCTTCCAAACGCGTACGGTGATGCCGTTTGTCGGGGCTGTTATTAAGGAGAGTGGGGCTGGGGGGGTGGCGGGGGGTTCAGGACAGCGGAGGTTCCGTACGGGTTTCTCAGCGCCCTGACAGCGCGGTGTCACCGCAGGGATGGGGCGGCGGACGCGCGGCTCCTCAGTGCCGGGGTCCCGCATCTCCGCTCCGCTTCCCGCGCGGCTCCCGAATGAACGGCGGGGCGGGGCGGGGGGCGGGGCCGGGACGGAGGGGGGCGGGGCCTGAGGGGGCGGGGCGCACGGCGCGGACCCGAGGAGGATTGTCCGCTAACGGCCGCCGTCCGTCCGGCCCCGCCCGCCATATTGCGCCCCGGCACGGGCCGAACGGCGGCCGGAGATGGGTGAGGGCGGGCGCGGGCAGCGGGACGGGGCGGAGCGGGGCGGAGCGGAGCGGAGCGGCGGGGACCGGGACGGGCGGCCGGGAGGGAGCGGCGGCCGAGCTGGGAGCGAGGAGGGGGCCGAGGCGGGCGGGGCCGAGAGGCGCCGTCAGCCCCGCCCACACGCGCTGAGGGGCGGCTCCGCGCCGGGCCCGGGCCGATCCGCGCTCCTCCGGGCCGATCCGCGCTGCCCGCGGCCCCCTGGCCTCCGCTCTGCACGGCGCGGCTCCCGAGCTCCGCGGCCCTGGGGCCTCCGCGGCCCGCGGTGCTGCTGGCCCTGCGCCCTTGGTGCCCCTCGTTGCTGCGGTGGGCGTGGGGCGGTGGGCGCGGTGCCCCCCGCTGACACCCTCCGAGCTGCAGCCGCACGGCGCGTTTCGTGCAGCCCCGCACCGCCGGCTGCGGCCCCGGCGATGCCCCAAACGCGCTTCGGCTGCTTCTTTTCCCACCTTTCAGAAGGAGAAAACGATTTCCGTGCTTTTGTGGCACCGCTCTCAAGAGCTGCGGGTGTCCCACGCAAACACAGAACTGCACGAAGGTGCCCCCAGTGCACCGAGTCCTTTGGGCGCGTTGTGTACAGCCCTGGAAGCAGCGGGGTAACACTGCAGCAGGGCTGCGCTCCTTGGGATGCGTTCCTGGGTTGGGGTGCAGGGAGCTGCTCCCTGCTGCTCACACTGAGCTTCAGCACCGCGGTGAGAAGGGCTGAGCAGAGCTGCTTCCCTGCGGGTGAGCCTCGCTCATAAACTTTCTCTTTCCAGTTTTAAGGACTGAAGGCGTAACAGTGCAGTGAGCAACCAAGAAGCCGCCCCAAAGAACAGCCCTCCGCAGCCTCTGTTGTTATGGCAGGGGGAAGGCGGGGCCCCAACCGCACCTCCTACTGCCGAAATCCCCTTTGTGAGCCCGGGGCTGCTGGCGGCTCCGGCCACTCCACGAGTTCCTCTGTCACAGGCGTTCGCTCCCGCACCAGGTACGGCCCGACCCGAGGCAGCCGTGAGGTCGCCTGTGCCTCCTGTCTCACACACAGCTCAGCTGCCCTGCAGATCAGGGATTCGTTAACTCCTGTGTGCAGCAGCATCTGTGCTGCGCGTTCCACTCGGAATAGGTGGGTTCTGATGTGCTCAAGTGCTTTGTGAGACCTCGGCGGACTTCCAGGAGTGTTCAAAAGCATGTAGGGGCCACCTGGGGAAAGAGAACAGATCATGGTGCATCCAGCGCCTGTCTGTGGAGTTCTGGTTGTTGTGTCTCCTGTGCCAGGTGAGGTGTTTCTAGGGTAGAGATCAGTTCCTCAGATGTTGTGTAGGCTGCGTTTCAGGTTTTTTTCCAGGTTCTAGCCTGACTGGTTTGTTGCCTTTCTGCTTCTGAGGTAGAGAGGTGGAAAGAGAAGCTCTGTGCCAGCAGAAGTACGTAAGCAGGAGGTACCTTATGAACTGTCTGCTTAGCAAATGTTAGACCCGTTTTAACGTACTCCCTGCTGGTGAGCTTAGGCCAAAGAATGCACATGGATACAGTTATTCAAACAAGTTACTGCAAGGCCACCGAAAGTGGAGCAATCCACCGAGTGCCTGCACCACTGTGAGCGTGCACAAAGGTCCTTATCGCTAAGTAGGTAATGAAGTCCCAAGCCACACCCCAACTAATTAGTCTGTGCAGCCTTATGCTCTTAGAACCTATGAGAGCTGTTCTGTTGTGGTAGGTAGTGCTGCTGCTCTCGCAGAATCAGCCTTTGGTTTTGTGTGGCTGCTCAGTGTTGAAGAGGCTTCGTGTCTGTAGTTAGAGAGGATTTGGAGCAGGAGCACCTGCTCTGAGTTATTGGCAGATTCCTCAGTCCTGAGGAGCCGAATCAGTCTTGTCAAGTTGGGATCCAGGACTTTTGGAGACACAGCTGAGGTTCCTGAAGTTGTCCTCACACACTTGTTTTATGCTCTCAGCCTTCTGACTCAAACAAACAGCAGGGCCTGTGCTAACCCTGTGCCAGAAGTCTTTCTGCAGTCACACTGACACGACCAGGATTTCTTTACGGGATTTTCAGTAGGAGACTGGCACCTTGTGCTCTGTGGTTCCTTTGAACCCCAACCCACACCCAGATTCCTGTGAGTGCTGTTATGTAGAGGTTGCAAATCAGGAGAGATGCATATGGTGCATATTAGTTCCCTTCCCTTTGATTGAAGGAGCTGGTGTCTGGAACTGTGTGCATGCTCACACAGGAATATGCACCTCTGACAAAACTTGTTTTTCCTCCACAGTTGTGGAATAGAAGTTAAAGAATGAGAAAGGGCTCGCGTTTAATTGCTCTGTATTTCATGTTCAAGCACTCTCAGAAATGTAAACAGCAACTCAAGGTCTGAACACTTGCAGTTAATTCAATGGCTACCAATTGCCCATTGCACAGCACAGCCGTGGCTTTCCAACCCGACTCTCTACGAAGGCTTTAATGTGGAATGAGCCGATGCTGTAGGTTGGCCTGGCTCCAAATATTGCTTTCCCTGGGGAGATTCCCACTCTCCCTGCACTGCAGCGATGGTTTGCAAATCCTCGGGGTGCTGACCCCTGTAGTTTGTGGCAGCCATTGACTCAGCACAGCTTCCTCAGCCAGCGTTGGGCCCAGCTGCTTCTGCAGGAGGGCAGTGCTGGGGGTCCTGCAGTGACTGCTGCCTTCTGTTTCCTCGTAGGAGCGGCTCAGGTACGGGGCTTTCCAGCCCACCTCTGGCAACTCAGGCAGTCGTTCCCCTGCGGCACTGTAAGATCCCAGAGCTGCCCGTGGAGAGGAGCGTGCTGTTTGAGCTCCAGCTCTTCTTCTGTCACCTCGTTGCTCTGTTTGTCCACTACATCAACATCTACAAAACCGTGTGGTGGTACCCGCCGTCCCACCCGCCCTCACACACGTCTTTGGTAAGCTGCTGCCTGCTGCTGGTTGCAGCTCTGTGGGGTTGCGAGGCGTGAATGTTTCTGTCTCTGCTTTGTGCAAACTGCATGTGGCTCCGCAGCCTGCAAGGTTTTGCTCTCGTGGCTTTCAGCTGGCAAACCTGGGGCGCTGGCTGGCTGCTGGCATTCTCTTCCTGATCTTGGAAGAGAGAGTGCAAAGAGAAAAGAGGACCTTGGGAGCTTCTCTGCTTAATGTGGATTTCTGCTGCCTGGTGGAAAGTGAAACCATTTTCTTCTTGTCGCTGCAGAATTTCCATCTTATTGACTTCAACGTGCTGACAGTGACAACCATCGTCCTGGCGCGCCGCTTGATTGTTGCTATTGTGAAGGAGGTAAAGTCTGATGCACATCTCAGAACCGTTCTTTCCTCTTGGGCAGAACGTGAAGCTCTGTGTCCCTTTCCCAAAGAATGTCAGGCTGCCTCTAAGCCAGAAACGAGAGCATGTTTTCTAATTGGAAGAACAGGAGTGAGCATCTCACATCACTGCTCTCACTGCCCTTCTGTGATCATTTCTGAGTTGCTCTCTCAATGAGGCTGCTCAGCAAGCCCAGCTTCTGCTCGAGTCCTTGCAAAGAACCGGGTTGGGCTCTTGTTCTCTTAATGACTGCAGCTTTCTGCAAGGA